CATTTATAAAAGCACATTTCATTAATTTCAAAAATTTCATTCATTACTGTGATCGAATGTCGTTAAATTATTTTTATTTGCTTTTTTATCTGATGTTAGTCATATTTTTATCAGCTGTTATCTGTTATATTTCCTTATCCAATTAGTAATTAACTGGACGGAATTATTATACAATGAAAGATAAATTTATCTGGTTTTGCACGATCGATTTTCCTAGATAACTGTTCCATAAGAATTGTGATCGATGCGGATATTTCCGAGAGAAATTTTACTCAAATACACGCGTACCACAAGACTCTGTTGTATCTGCTTCCGTCTCCTTGATTTTCATTAACGACCTCTTGTGCGGAAGGGGGTCCCGAAATTTCCTCTCGAGGCCCTCGATTATGGGCAGTGAAGAGTTGAGATGTTTATAGACGAACAGTGATTCTCCGAAGCCTTCTGTACTCTTGGGCATTGATATAGCTCGAGAGTGTAGTGTTCTCATGTACACCAGAACATGTATTTGAAAGTAAAGAAAATAGATTTCTCTACCAATCAAATCCTTTAAGACGACTAGTCAGCATGTGTTCCCACACATTCGTCCTGGAGGTGACCGAAACGAGACATTACCACGACTTATCGCATTTCAACCACACCGGCTGCCTTTAAAATAATTTATCAGATAAAAAACTTTTATCCACCTATCAAGTCCTTTAACAGGTCTACTTGGCATTCTCACTCACACGTCCTAGAAGTTTCCGCGTACCACACGACACATTATTACGAATCATCGCTGTTCAACAGCATTGACCGCCTTTAAAAAAACCCGGCAACAATAGTCGACCCCACCATTGAAGGTTTCTCTTTTTTTCACGTCCTACATGCAACTGCTGCCCTCTTTTCTTTCTCCCTATTCGTAATATCTCCTCAACGCCAGTACGCTCACGCGTATATGCAGAATTCCTCCTCAAGTGGCTGATCAAAAAAAAAAAAAAAAAAGATTAATCAAACCATTACTTTGTTTGTTTGTTACTAAAAATATCCCTAAGTTACTTTAAAAATATTTATTCTAATTACTTTAGTTTTCAAATTAAAGCCAAGTTTGTCCCTTTGGTAAAAATTTTTCTGAACAAGTGCTTGATTATATATCAGAACTTCTTAAGACATTTTAAGTTTAAAGAAGTTCGTGGTACATACTGTCTGCCTTACGTTTCTATTATCGCTAATATAGTTAGGTTATTGGATGGTTTCTGATAATCAAAGGATTTTAAATTAGAATAGCAATGAAATCTCTCGTAATTGATGCAATGTTTACAGAACGTCGGATAATCTTAAATAATTCTACGAATAATTTTCAACATTTTACTTTGCAGAGAGAATTTGCAATTGTTTTACTATTAACGGTTATGCGTATGTGTGGGAATTATTGCTTGCTATTCTGGTTGATAGATATCATTGAAGCTGCATATTCAATTTGCAACACTTTCAACTATTAAATGGCAACAACATTAAAAACAACAACAACAACAACAACCACTACAAAAACAGAAACAATAAAAAAACTCTAGCACTGACTAAGAATAAAAACAATTTCTGCGTAAAATTTCATTTGATATAAATATGCAAACTTATGTATAATACAACTTATGCAAGTAAACACGTATGCCTGTATACACATATATATATATATATATATATATATTTATGTACAATGTTTATATATAATGAAGTTTATGTATATAAACCACATATAATTTTCATTGCACGAAAATGGAAGGTTTTCCGTGATGTGGCGTTGTGTTCAGTTAGACTTGGGTACGCCAAAGCATGTGTTGTTAACTGACTGTGTTGTATGTACATGTGCGTATGCAAGTGCTCTTCTATATGTTTATTGGATGGTTAAATACAGTATATACTTGCTTGACGTTTTATTCGATTTGTTTGTCTGTCTGTCTGTCTGTCTGTCTATTTGCCTGTATGTTTGCTTGCCTGTGCGCCCATTGGTTTCTATGTCGTGTTTATATTTGCCGGTATATACATGATTGTTTGTTTTTATATTTGTCCGCATATGCATGTATGAACATTTCGTTATATCCCTACAGTAGCGGGTATGTTAAGTTTATAAGAATTCCTTGTAATCTGTGCGTGTAGCTTACTAAGCCGATCTATTCGAACTGTCGAAAATAATTTTAATCTCGAAAGTTAATTTAAAATTAGTCCTTTTTACCTTCGGCTGAGTAAGTTGAAAAAATCGGTAAAATATATTCAAAGATACACTCAAAAATATTGCAAAAATCTTAAAAATTATTTAAAAAAAAAGAAAAAAATTTTAAAAGTTGTCAAAATTAATTAATGAATAAAGAATTTTAGAAAATATTAATTAAGTCGCTTCCCGCTAGTGTTAAGATAATGGCCATTATGTTCTTAGAAGCACTTTTCCATCATACCGGTGTTAAGTGTATTGCTCTTCTGGTATGTTGAATTATGGCGACGGGTATGTGTTTATGTCCAGTTATGTTATTTAGACCGTACTTGGATTCATGCCAGAGCAACAACAGCGATCCTGGTACAGTTAATCAAAAACTTTCAACTTTTATACCCGTTACTGTAAAGCGTTAGGGATTTCGGAAAGTATGCACATTCTTGATCAATATGGTTAAGAAAATCCATTTCATCTGTCTATGACTTGTATAGGAAAAGCCACTTGGCTTTAAATTTCCTTTTGCTGAAAACTTAACGAATATATATATATATATATGTATATATACTTCAATTGTGTCATCTCAAAATTTTGCTTAAGGTTTACACAAAATGAACAGTGTTATTCTGAGCAACATCGCTGGGATATCACAATTCGCAATCATTTTTTCCTTTTGCGGTTTTTGGTGACTTAACGGGTTTGTTGTACAGCATAATTGATTTTGGAGAGTCTTGCACAGAGATTATTACGCGATTGAACCACCAAACTTAATACAAAGCCATAAAAACTGCAATAAAAACACACATCGCTTTCTATTGTGACTAATGAGCGATCACAACGCTTGAGTATAGCTGTAAATTAATCGTTTCCGATATCATATTATATCGAAGCAATTAAATGGATTAAAGGTTCGGCTCGGTATACCCAATAATCCCACATGAATAGAATGAAATATTTTTACACAAAATTTTTGTACACAAAGCTATACCAACATTAACGTTACATTAAAATCGTGATTTGAAGTTTATGAGAAAATGTACCTACAGCATGTCAGTTTTTGCACGCGATGGTATGCTAAAAGTGCAGAGTTGCCTTTTGCGGGCAGGGATCTTTTTTTACCTTCTTTTCGGGACTTGTACTTTTTTTCTAGGAAATATTGCAGCATATACGTAAAGAAAAGGTGATTATTATTACCTAGACTCCTCAAGTTGGAAATTTAGAAAGTGATAACTAAAAACTGTTCTTCGTTTAAAAGAATGTACCTATGTTTTTGGCTGATCAGCAGCTCCTCTTGAAACGCAATGCATCGAGATATTTATTCAGAAATTTACTGAGTTTTTCATCTGGCGAACAGTTTTGCCCTAAAAAAGAGTACCTCGAGATTTATGCACCCAACTTCGCTTCGTTAAAAGAAAACCAGTTTAATCTCGGAACAACTAGTTTAATTCTCTGTAAACAGATGTATCCAGATTTTGATTCGACTAGCAGTCCCTCCATAAAGGAAAATATAATCATACTTTCGAGCCAGAAGTTGCTTTTACATCCTGCAAGCAGTTCCGACTTCCGATTTATATCAGATTGGCTGTTTTCGGTTGGTTGGTAATTCCTAAAAGCAAACGATTACTTTTTCATGACTGGCCCAACCTACCAGGAAATAAGTAGTTTTTCTTTCAGCTTCAAAATATGCTTAATAAACACCAAGCTAGTGAGTGATAGGCGCCAATGGATTCGTTCTAAGCTGAATAATAATAACTATCTGATTTAAGAACTGTATCTGTGGTGGCGTCAACAAAACGTGCGTACATTTCCAAATAAAACACTTTAATAAAATACACAAACCTTGTTTTCTTTTTCTCTTGATTTCATTTTTTTTTTAAATTTTTTTTCTCCTTATAGACAGACATCTATCTGTGCTTACCTCTGTTTTTGTGCTATTCATGTTATAGCATCTAAGTGTGTAGTTGCTGCCCTCTCTAACATACATTGTGTGTGCATGGGTTAGCGTGTTTGTGCTCGCAAACATTCATCATTCGCATCATACTCGATGGATGATATTACAATGTCTACATGTGTACAATTGTATAGTATAGTATATAAGTATGTCTGCCTTTTGCTGCTCCATTGCCAATGCTACCGTTTAGTTTTCTTTTAATTTCATTTTCTTATTTATTGTTGTTAGTCGTGCAGAAACGGCTCACTTAAAAAAGCAAAATGCAATCAATTCGCTATCACATATGCATCTCCGATTCAGGTTCAGAGTAAATTAAAAAAAAACAGTCTTTTTTTTCTTATGATTTTTTATTTCAAGTCACCATAATTTGATACTTTTTTTTGAAAGTGATACAAATCTTTTTTATTTTCTCGTCCTTACAATTCACTTTATCAAGAGTTTTTACTTCTCTTATTACCTGATTTGATATGTATTGAGCCTTTACTACCAAAATTTTTATGGTAATTATTTTCATTTCATATAATTCCTACTTTTTATATACGCAGACTTTTCGAACTAAATAGCTTTATTCCTAGTAATTTTTTTTTTTATTTTCTACAGAGGGAATAAGTCTCGATAGGAGGACAACAAGTTCTTTTTTCTGCGCATTAATTTAGAAACTTTCGAATTCTAGCATGTTGACCTTTTCTCTTTTTCTTACATTTATTCTGCGCTCACGAGAAAGAAGTAAAATCATCGGTACAGGACATAAAGAAGTAGTAAATTTGATCGCTTTTTTGCTCAGCAAGAATATTTTTTAGAGTTCTTATAGGTTATATTTTTATTTGGTTGGTGTACAAAATTCGCCTTAAAGCTGTATATATAGTTTCCTTATTTACTTTAGTTGTTATTATTGGTATAATGTGGATCCCTCGCTCTTCACTTGTCTGCTCGATGGTCTTCTTTTTTCTGTTTTCAATGTATTAACGTTGCCCTCTCATTCATTACATTGTTCTCATTCGTTTTCATTTATTTTAGTTACTTAAAGCAACATTTTTGCTGGTTTACTTAGTTTCCTAGATACGTTTGAGACTGTATAAGCAAATAATACGTACATAAAATACGATTAATGAATAAAGAGATAAAGTAAGTCGAGAAAGAGCACATTCCTAGAAAATATAGTCACTTGGTAGTAAGCTTTTCCTAAATGGCCTTTTTCTAAATACCATATAATAATATTTTCATATAATAACATAACAGTTACCTTACCTAAGTGTGGCTGATTGTTACAAAATTTAGTTATGTAGTTACTCACGAACCAGTCTCTCTTCTCCCTAAGTACGTTATAATATTCGTACCTTGCAATCAATGTAATGTTTTGATTAATTTACAAATAGCAACCTGCCGACAAGTGTAGGGAAAAATGTTGCAAAGGCTAAATGACATATTTGCAATTAAAAACAAAGAAAGTGACTTCATACTCATTGCCATCTGCCTCCCTCTGCTTCATGTTGATCATCTCTTGATGTGAAATTTTCAAATAATGCAACGTATGATAGATACATAACATCTAATATGTTTTTCTTGTATTCCTCAAATAAACATCGAATACGGTCCTTGACTTCACTGATTCCGAAATAGGGCAATAGAAGCAGATGAAGTAGAAAACAATTGAAATAAAATCGTTTTTAAAGCAGTTTCTCAATGTTCTTTCTTCCTTTCTTCAAATGAGTTCAATCTTTAATTTTTAGGATAGTACGAAATTGGTGTTTATTTTAAGGAAACTT